CTCTGCTAATGGACACGAAGCATCCGACGCCGCCCCCGATCGGAAGCCGTATTCCTCCGCCGTTAAACGGCAGCGATTTGCAAGGCGGAGCATGGGTTCTGGGCACCCCGCTGATACCCCAACCACATCCGGTTAGCCGTAGCGCCGCCGCTTGGATCCCCGTCGATTACAATCCGATTTCTTCTTCCGCCGCCGATCATCCGAGCTACGGTATCTACTCCGCTGCATCTCATGCGGTCCCCGATAACCCTTATGTGCATGTCTATCCAGTCCTCGGATCCAGTGATAAGAGTAAGTTTTCAGACTAATTTCTAAAGAGTTTCTGGTTTGAGATTCGATTGAGTTGTTTAGGGTTTGTAGGTTTTAGATAATATGGATGAGGATTGAGGGGATGAGAGTTGAGAGACTTGGAGAACTTAATCTATTGATCCCAGCGAATTCGTTAATTATAATCACAGGGAGAGCTGGGTTGAAATCGTCTGGATTGGATTGGTTGAATTCCGGACTTAGTTAACTCTTAAGGCGTATTTAAGTTAGATTTAACTTAAATTCATCTAAACCCCATAAATGGGTTGGATAAATTTGCCCTTAAGTTAAATCCAATTTTTGATTGTTCCCTTAATTAAATCCGGATTCACTAAATCCACTTATTAGTTGAATTTAACGATTTAGCAGGAAAAAAATATTTCAAATAGATTTATGTCGAACACCTCAAATGAATTTTGCTGCATTTAATCTTAACCGGTATAAATCCTATTTAAAGTTAAATCTTCCTTGTTGCCAACTTAGATTGTAAGGTGATTGCTCAGAAAGATTAGGTGTAATATATTGAATATTTTTATGGGATGTTTGGCAATCGATTTAGTAAATCCTCTAATTCGGATTTATGGCGAAGGAGAGGAGATTAAGAGGAAATTGGATTTACTAAATACAAGATTTAAAAGTTGTGATTTTATGTTTGGCAAGGTTTAAGTTAAATCCACTTAACTCTCTTACTAGACAACCCCTTAGAGGGTTGTTTCTTCGTAAATTTAAATGGATTCTAACATAATTTAGGATGAAACTTGCCAAACATGTAACAAGGGACTTTTAAAAGTTGCCTCCCTTAATTTGGGCTCTTGTAGGTATTTGATAGAACTTGTCTTAAAACAAGGTATGCAATCGTTTGGATGAATAGATTCACAAATTAGTTAAATTAAGTAAAAACCAAAATATAAAATTAAAAACTTTAGTTGACCAAATTTTTACTCAAATTGATATAAATCTTAACTTGATTTAATCAATTCAATTTTTGACAAATTGGGATTTAACTTAGGACTTAAAATTATTAAAAATCAAGGTTATACTTTAAAAATTGAAAATTTGTGTCTCTTTCTTATCTTCTCACAATCTCTTCAAAATAAACATGTTATGCGCACAATTAGTGTTTTTCCAAATAAATTAAATTTCATAATCCAAAAATCATTAAGGCTTTGTTTGAGAACACGCTAAACTTCCGTTCAGTTGCACGAAACGCCGTGATTAGAGAAATTTTATTTGGTGCAGGAGCGTTTTCATAACGTATTTGAAAGCTGCATCACAAGAATGATAAGTTTTTGTCGTTGTTGGACTCTTGCGTTCGGCGGACGTGACTTAAATCAGATTTGTTGAACGGGAATGCTTCTTCAAATTAAGCTTAAGTTTATTTTTTTTATTATTTGGTTTATCAAAGGTCAAAACAAATCGAAAAACTGAAAACTAATTATTGAAAATTTTTAAGCCAAAAATCAAATTATTGTTTCAGAACCGAGCCATCAATCAAAACAGTTCGGTTTGATTCAATATTTTATTTAGACCAAACAATGCACATCCCTGGCTCAAAATTAGGAATCACGAAAATCAAGTTTTAGCTGAGTTATTTTCTTAACTTGAGCTCTAGATGTTATTTAAGAAACTACAACCAAACTTGCAGTCCATAGTTTTCCTTCACAGCTCTTATGTAATAACATAATTTTCTTACTGTAGTTCTTGGTCTTTCCTTCCACAGGGCCAACAGATACAATTTTCAAAGTTCTTGACCGTTGTGGAAAGAAGTTGGAAGAGAAAACCAGAAAGACAGTGAATCTTGCTTGCAATGTTTGGCAACACCGTATGTATCACTTCCTCTTATAAATTAAATTTTGATCATTTCAAAGATGTCTTTTGCCTTGCGATTTAGATATAAATAGTTTAATGAATCTAATTAAATCATATGTAATTTGGAACCATTAATTTTGCTAGAAAATTGTTGATGGAGCACAGTAATTTTCATTCATCTTCTTCAAAATTTAAGTTATACAATCGAATAATTCTCAACTAAACTCCAAGTTATGTAAATGATATTTACCTTAATGAAACATATTACATTTTGCTAAAGTTTCAATCAAATGAGATCTCACACTAGAATGTCAAAAGAGTATTTATTTGATTTTAAAGTATATCTCTCCTATTGCTTGTAGTTTTAAACTATTTCAAATAGGGGATTTCTGTCATTTTGTCACAATGGCCCATCATTAAGTTTTAACAGCTGCTCTTCATATAGATCCATCTGTTCTCTAGGACTTTGGTTTTCTGCATGGCTTAAAAGCCATAAAAAAACAAAACCTCTCCAAATTCATCATAAAATTTTAAATTCACTGCAAATTTCCAGAAAAAAAAATATATTTCCTGCAACATTTCGTCCTATTATGAATGAACTAAACTACAAAGTGAGGTATATAAATAAAATTTTCTCATTTTCAATTTTTCTTTTCATTATATAGTTAAAATAGGGCCCAGCATGACGGATGCAGCCATGGCTGGGCTTGCTCATGGAACAAAGGTGTTTGCAGAAGGGGGAAACGAGAAAATATTTCAGCAGACTTTTGGTGTTTATGCTGGGGAACAACTTCGAAAAGCATTTGCTTGTTATCTTTCCACCTCTACAGGTCCGGTAATTGGGACATTATACCTTTCTTCGCTAAGGCTGGCGTTTTGCAGCGACAACCCTCTTTGCAACTACACACCCTCAGGTCAACAGCAGTGGATATACTACAAGGTGCGGCTGTATTTATATAATTCGTAATATCTGCTGGCCATTTACATTTGTGTATTTACATATCTAAAACCTAAACTTTAAGTTTTTACCTTTAAACCAACTAAATATTTCATATCACTAAATAATATCACATTTATACCAACCAAAACTTTTTAAAGTGAAATATACCTTTTCATGCATGTGTAAGGTGGCAGATATATGTAAATGTTAGAGATGTTAATACATAAGAATTGAGTGGCATGCATGCAAAATTCGACACAGCGAAATCATGAGCAAGTTTTGAAAGGAATTACTATAAGAAGCCGAAACGATGATGTACAATATAGCTGAAATTTGATTATATTCATATTTTTGCCCCTAAATTTACAAGGCATGCAATTTGCAGGTGGTGGTACAATTAGACCAGCTGAATGGAGTTAATCCTTCTTTCAACACTAAAAACCCTACAGAGAAATACATCCAAATTGTCACCTCAGACAACCATGAATTTTGGTTTATGGGTTTTGTGTCTTATGACAAAGCTCTCCAGCATCTGAGAGATGCCTCACAGCTCGCACATAAGAAATACAATAATCAGATATAGCTGCTTTCACTCTGTATTTCTGTACAAAATTCATATAAATGTTTAACTTGCTACAATGAACATTACATAAATCACAATGGAAATATATTATATTGTATATGTTTTGGAAAATTTTACCCTAGTTATTGCGTAGAAGAGGATTTCCTGATTATAGACTTACAATAGTATGCTGGGCTGTAGAACAACATGCTGTGCACACATCAAAAGAATTCAAAACTACGTAAATAAAGAGAGAAGGTAAGGCAAATGAATTACTTGGATACCGGGCTTAGGGGTGTAAAAGAGTATATCGAGTGAAGTCGAGCTCGATCCACCCTCAGCTGAACTTGAGCTTGATTAATTAATCAAGTTTAAGCTCCAGCTCAAACTTAATTCTATGAGTTTGAGCTGACTCATGAGCCGACCGATTTGAGTCAGAGCTAGCTTGAGCTTGGTTTGTTTGCTCATTGAGCTCGGCTTATGAGCCACTTAGCGAGTAGAGCCCGGGTTGGCTCACGATTGGCTCACGAGTAGGCTTTTTGACTCAGTTACACCCCTCATTGGGCCTGGTTACTTACCTTAATCTGCGTCCTGTTGTAGGTGTAGGTGATATGGACGAGCTCATCGATGGTCTGGATCACAGCAGGGTAAGAGAACTCCATCCCTTCAGTTTCTTCTAGTGTTAAAATATCATACCAGTTATCACCATCATCCTCAGAGCAAGCAACTCTGAGCTCTGCCCTAGATATGGTGTTGTAAGCTAGTATCAGGCGACCATCTCTCAATTTTACTCCATCAATCCCTGGTGTATATAGAATCTTCCATGTTATACATTTCAAACATTGAAAAAACATGAATTTTTGTTTAATGGTAGTTTCCGAAAAAGGCGATGATGACCTTATAATTATGATTCAACAAAATGATTGAGATAAAAAACCTGAATTTGGATTTGGAAGTTGAGTGGGTTCTGCCAAGCTCCAATTAAAACCCCCATCAACTGATTCAGACATATAAACTTTGGAGATATTTTCAAAGGACCTGAGCAGCACTCTTAAATCACCACTTGCAGTCTGGTATGGCACAGGTTGAATAACTCCTAGGGTTTCATTTTCAATGTATATAGGTCCATATTTCTTCCATGAATGACCCTTATCGGCTGTAATCTGCAAAACAATGGAGGGGACTGAAATTGCTGGTGAATACTTGTTGGAATAATGGTTAATGCATGTTATGAAGTGCACAGTACCTCCATCCAAGCTCCCCAAGAGTTCCAGCTCTCTACAGAGGATCCGCAGAGCAGTTGGCCATCCTCGAGCAAGATAGGCTGTTTGATGAAAGAGGTGAGTTAGCTGGAATTATTCAACTTCCTATAATTCTATTCTTTAAAGAGTAAAAGCAATAAAGAAAAATGTTAGTACATAAAAATGCAAATTTAGTCACCAAACTTTTTAAATAGGGGGCTAAAGTATTCATTCCTGGGGATTATTTCAACACATATTAAAAGAGTCGGAGGCTAATTTGATGTTTTTATAGACTCTGAGATTAAAATAATCCCATGTAAATAATCAAGAGGCTATCTTGGCTCTTGGCACTTAAATCAAGAGGAATATATTGTAAGTTTAATTATTTGGTTGACTACACTATAAGTGTAATATATTATTTTTATGTATGGTTTGAAATAAAATTAATTCGATGTAAATCACAACGGAGATGAGTGGTGGCCGGTGGTCGGTGGCCAGTGGCTCGTGGGAAAGGGTGGTTGTGGTTTGAGGCAGCGGCAATCGGTTGACAACAACTTTGGCGATGGCTTCGGGGCTGTGAATACAAACATCCTTGTTTTTTATTCTACACACCTTGTTCTTCGATGGGCCAATAATTCCAGGAGGAAGTTGTTGTCTTTCTGACCAAGTAATCCCATCATCAAGAGATCGCTTCATGCTTCCACTCCATCTACAATTTCAGCCTATGGTGAGAGATATAGAAACAAGAGAATAGAAGCTTGGAAGTTAGAGGATTTACATGCATGTATATATAAACTAAATTCTTACATGCATGTATATATAAACTGAATTCTTATGCATTTATATATCTAATATTTAAATCTTTATATTTATTTATATTACATCCTAATATCTAATTACATCCTAATATCTAAATGACAAAAAAAAAAATTTGAAGATTTACATACATACCACTCAATTCTTATGCATGTACAATACCTAACACCAAAACTACAATTTTTACATTTAAGTCACATCATCTATGCATTAAAAGATGCATTTCACTATTTAAAAGTTAAAATAGTGGTTTTTTTGAAGTGATATGAATGATTTGGATGTCAAAAATGTATGAAGCAAAGCTTAGATGTTGGATATTTACATACATAAAAATTGAATGGTATGTAATGTAAATACCCCTAAAGGTATCACTAAAAGTCACTCATCTAATGTGAGATACATATTCTCTAATGGCATTTAGACACGAATATGTTCTAAAAATAAAAGGGTATTTACAGACACCACACAATTCCTATGTATTTACATATCTAATACCTAAACTTTGATACTTATAGAACATTTTGGTGTATAAACTATACATGGGTAAAGTGTCCTATATATAAAAATTGTAGTTTAAGACCTCAGTGTTATGCATGTAAATATTTAAAAAAAAGAAATTAGACATGCAAAATATATAAAAATAACTAAATGATATGTATATAAAGTTAAATAAAAAAGGGGGGAAGGTGTAAATAATGCTAACTTCTGAACTTCCTGGCCAATCTTGTAAAACAATAGCAGCTCACGAGAAGGAAGCTGAAACAACACTGGATTCCACAAAGGTACCTCTGGTTCTTCATCTGCAACTGAAGGGGGATACCAGCAACCATCCTGAGTACATATTTCCAATTTATGCCTCGTGGAAGGCTATTTACGTAATTTTTTTTTCAAATGTTTCAAATTATATAAAAAAATTTGAAAATTAAGCATGCTTGCGCTTTGTGGAGGAAGGAAAGTACTCACGCTGTAGTTTTGCAGCCAAATCTTAACATCTGGAGCTCCTTCTGCGCTTCCCCCAAAGTAAGCCACCAGCAATCTGTCCCGTTCGATCTAAACAGAAGACCGATCAAATTAATATTAGTTATTAAATAAATAGTAATATTGATTTTAATTAATTTATCTTTAATTAATTATTATTAATTATTGAACTCGATTTATTAATTTTTTTTAATTCATGAACTTGTACTAAGAAGTTTTCTTACCAATTATAACTGACATAAGCTAATATCTTATCTAATATACAATCAATAATTTAAAAAGCTATTCAATAATACTCGAGAAGATCCAGAAGAGGAGTTCGAGCGAGACTTGCAAATTTTTTAGGTTAAATCCTTTCAATTCCCAAGTTTACTCACCCTAAAAAGATCGAAAGCTCCGTTGGATTTAAGAATTTGATTTATTCTCTCTTGCAGAATTTATATTAAATCCAACCACCAAACAGCCCTACGAGATGAATTCAATCGAGCAAGAACTACTAACCTCGACGATCGTCGAGGCATGGCAACTGTTAAAAGGAGCAGAGCCTTCCTGAAAGGTGAATTCCTCTTTCACCAACTGCCAGCCACCGCCGCCATTGACGACTCTTCCGCTCCGTTCTCTCCTGGAAGGAGCCCGATTCCTTCAATTTGATCTGTCAGTTGAAAGGTATTCGAGAAACACAGTTCGGCGGATGCGATCGATGATGATCTAGTTGTTACCTGCTAGTGCGATGAAGAAGGTGGCGGTGGAAGAGCTTGGGATGGAGGTCGGAGAAGTTATACAGGAAGAGGGAGAGAATCCCTAGAACGACGGCCAGCCCCAATGCTTTCTCTAGGGCTTTGCTCGCTGCGGCGCAGCTCATTTTTGCCTCCTTAGGGAGCTGATAGATTAGATCATATCGAAGTTATGGTGGTGGTTGCTGGAGCAATTATATATCACCGAATAACAAAACTTATTTTATTTGTACAAGTAATATCTTCTTATCTCTATTATTATTATTATTATTATGATTATTATATATATATATGTTAAAATTCATTACAAAAATGAGTTCGTATGTTTTTAAAAATTTAAACCTGATGGTGTGAGTGATAGACGGGAGTTTGAACGTACTATTTATTAATTTTAATTATTACGATTAATTAATTTTTATTTGATTCTAACATGTCATATTTGAAATCCGTCCGTCCTTTTAATTATAGCACAAAAAACTCTAAAAAAATGGTTTAATAGCTTGGTCTGGTTTGATCTGACTTGAATTGGACCGATTTTGGTACAGTTGGCCCTATCTCTTCGAGTTGGTCGATTTAACTGTAAGTTATGAATGATTTGTATGCACTAAAACTGTCGACACGAATCTCAAAGCAATCGAACGACCTGGGATGGTGGTCGGATGATCGAGACATCAGGCTAGAGGACCATGATCCGAGCCGACCGTTCAACGGCCAATCGCTCGGTCAAAATCAACCGACATATGATAAGGGATTTAATTGGCGGACCACACTTACGATCCCGACTTCCTAAAATCCTTACAAGGGCACCCGATCGCAACTAGTCGGCCAACCGATTTTTGCTTCGGCAGACGCGATCTTCACTGAAACACGCCAGCTGACTGATTACCACCATTGTAATAAAAATTCAGTATGGAATCAGCATATTTATCACATTAAGGGTAATTTTCTGTAATTACTTTGTTGTGTACTTTCGCGATTACTTTTTTTTTTGTGTTTTTTTCGATATTTTGTTCTGAATTTCTTGAATACGATGTGATTTTAATTGAAAATCAATCAAAACCGACAATATTTCCATCCCAACAACTTTAGAACATATTAAAGCTTATATGCCACTGTTTAATTATGCAATGCATTGTTATTCTAATTTAATGATATAATGACATTTTTATATTATTACTATATAACAAATAGTCCCTTTTATTATTCATATTATATGTTATCTGTCTTTTCCTTTGTACATTGATAAATACAAGCCTTTTCCTGAGCTTGATTGTCAAATTACTTTCTATTCTGACGATAAAATTAAATTTGTATACTATCATCATATTATAAATTGTCTCTTTTATCATTCATATTGTATGTCATAAGTCATATTGTTTATATTTTAAAAAGTATAAGTCATTTTCTGAGCTTGAATGTCAAACTTATCATTTGTAAAGCTTTATTTTAATATATTCTACCAAATTATTGAATAAAATAAATATTGTAGAAATTGAACTTTCCACATTATTTATCTCATTTTTTATTTTTGGTATTTCTTATTATCTTAGTATGATTCTGGGTAGGGTGTGAGTCAAGCTGACATGCGTGCCGGCTTAAACTTGGCTCGATAAGTGGCTCGTGAATTGAGCTCGATGAGCTAACAAGCCAAGCTCAAGCTAGCCCTGACTCGACTCTCTTTTAAAAAAATATTAATCTAAAATATACTCAAAACATATTAAATTTGATGATTTGATCTTTAAATTATTTAAAGAATAATATTTTATATTTTATATTAAGTGATTTCTTATTATGTATCTCTCAATTACTCATTTTATTTATTCATTTTATTATAACACTAGCTTAAATTGATATTAGTTTCTCTCTTTTATACTAAACAAGTCGGCTCGTGAGTTGGCTCGAACTCGCTGACTTAAGCTTGAACTCGAGCTCGAACTAAATAAAAGTAATCAATCTTAAATAAACAAATTAATCAGTACTAATGTTCATGCTAATGAAGTAGAGATTGATCGAGTTTTCAAGTAATTTTTGGAGAGTTTTATTTTTAATAAGATACTTAAATTGATTAAATTTGCTGCTTAGTTTCACAACATTGAGAAATGGCTTCAAGCTTTAAAATATCACAAAGTCTTTAAAGTGGATTTAATAGCATTTAAGTTTCTAATTAACAACTTTGAATCTAGTGTAATAATTCAATGGGTAAAGTTTTAATCCTATTCTTTGAGCTTAATGGAATATTAAGTTAAACTATCTACTTATCATGCTATTAATAACTGTTATAAAAGGAGAGTGACTTTTATTTACCTAGTATATTCTTTTCTACTTTTAAGGATGTTAAAAGAGTAGTATAATATTCAATATCATCATCTATGGCCAAATAAATGATTTTTTAGGGGTGTACAAGTTATCTTGCTCATGTAATAGATACTAACAAACTTAACGCTAATTTAAATTATATTCATAATTCAAAATTTATAACTATGTTTCGTTAAAATTTATCTAGTTTATAATTTAATTCAGAGATCAAATCCAACACAAGTCTAATCTTAGGTATGAATAAAATTTTGAAGGCACCATCTGTTATGACAATTTTTCATCTTTAAGAGTTCAAGATTCAACTAAAAGAATTGTTTAATAAGAGATTCATTAAGCCTAATGATTCAACTTATGGAGCATCATTAATTTTTTTCACAAAGAACAAAGAATTATGAAAGCATGAAATTATGCATCAATTAATAAAAGTAAAATGAGGATATCAAGAAGAAGAAATATCCTTTGCCTTGTAAAAATAAAATCAATTGTAAGTGTTTTTAAATATTTTTTTTTAGAAAATTAGCTTTCAATTTGATGACTATGAGTTGATAAACCAAATAATAATGTGTAAATTCAATATAATCATTATTAATTTTTTTTTGTCATTAAGGTTAACAAATTCCACTACTATCTTTATGAATCTTATGTAAAAATTTACCAAATCTCATTAAGATTACTTTGATATTATATCTATTAATGATATCTCTTACTTTAATATTGAAAAAGAGCGCAACCAAAATGTTAAAGCAACATAGAAATTTTTTTAGAGAATAAGTTTTATATGGAAATTCTATAGTTATAAGCTTTGGCCTTAAAATATAATTTATTAATAACACATTATCAATGAGTAGTTGGCTATTAGAGGAACTTTTTAAATTTTTTATATTATTATTACTTCTTTGAAGGATTGCCCTAAAAGTCCATTAAACTTGTACAGTTTGACTCCACAGACCAATTTTTTAGAAGATTAAAAGTATTAAGTGCTAGCTCCAATTCTTATTGCTCTTACATGAACAGATGGGCATTGATATTACACATCAGACTCTGAATTGTATTTTAATGCAACAAGATAAATTGGTAACTTATGCCTTTAGGCAACCTAAGGTGCATGAGAAGAACTATCTATATTATGAGTTGGAGATTATCATAAATATTTTTACATTAAATACTTTAAGATATTATTTTTATAATGTTTATTAGAGGAAAAATACCACTTTTGATATGAATGATATCTATTGTGCTTATTGTATGTTCCTTAACTATTTACAAGATTATCAAATATACTTCTCATCTTTAATTTATATCATACACTATCATAATTCTATTTTCATATTCATAATGAAATAACCTGTGATTTAGATACAATTATCATGTATAATTGTTGCATAAATTTTTAATGATCCTTATGGTAGCAATATTCATTCTAAAGCATATTACTACTATAGTTAAATACAATAAAATTTTTCATGCAAAACATATTTCTATTGTAATTTATGCTTTAATAATTTTAAGTGATTTCTTGAGCTATAAAGCCAAACTTTCCTTGATTGATGGACATTACAAGAGTAGATTTCAACCACAATTATTTTTATTTGTACTTGAATTTATATCGTAGTTTTTTACTTGAACCTTTTTTGAGTTTTAAGTGGTTGTTTCCAATGTAGTTTTTCTTTTTTTCATCTCCTTTTCATTAGTTTTTGTTATTTTTTTATTAAATTATTATTATAGATGCTTTTAAAGTAATAAAACATTAATTACTTTTTTACTCTTATGATACTATAGTTATGCATACAATTATATAGAAATGATATTTTCAATAAAGAGAAATTTTGTTTAATCTTGACTCTTGAGACTCACCTCATAAGTGAAAATTAATCCCTTTGATGCATCAAAATGTACCACCTGTCTGACCTAGGGTTTGACAATGATTATATCTTCTTCTTCTTCTTTTGTAATGGAAGGGGAGATTGATTATATACAAAAATGAGAAAGAAGAGAATACTGAAGCAAGCATAGCTTGTAATATATTGTATAGTTTCTCTACTTTCATGTAGTTTGTAAAAAGTTATATTGTTTAAGATCGTTGTAAATCCCTATTTTGCCTCATTTGCCCCTATAAAGTAGAACTATAAATCAAATAAAATTCTCCCTCAAGCCTTCTTGAAGTACTATTTGATTTGTTCACTGTCATGGTCCATTTTGATTGTCTCTAAAGCTTCTTTAATACCACTTCTAGTGAACTTCTTCTCTAAGTGTCTTGTATGTGTGTGTGTGTGTGTGTGTGTGTGTGTGTGTGTGTGTGGTTGAAACGACCACATTAGAGCATTTCACATGGTGCTTCACCATTTATGACTTTAGGATAAAAAACCTAAAGTATGATTGGAAGATGTGTTTTATCACAGTTTAAGATCATTATTTCTTCTAATTATGCATAATTTAATTACTATTCATCATGTAATAAAAAAATAAAAAAAGGAAAAAGAAAATATAGTTTAATCATCAACCTCCAAATAGGGCTGTCAAAAAAGCTCATCGTTCGCGAACAGTTGGTGTTCGGTTCGTAAATGAGTTCTTGTTTGATTCGTTCGATATGTAAACGAGACGCGTGAATAAATTTTTTTCGTTCGGTTATTTAAACGAACCAAGCACGAACAGTGATGTGTTCGTTCGTGTTTGAATAGTTATTGTTCGATTGATGAAATAATTTAAAATAATTATATATAAGAAAATAATGATATTTTAAAAAATTAAATTTTCTAAATTATAATATATAATAAATTAATATCAATATATTTATAT